GGACCGAACAAGAGGACGTAAAACGGGCCCCGTGCATTTCATTTCAGCAAATGGTCACCCACACCTTTAACGACATCACTCAACCAGCCCCGTTACCTCCAGGCGATGCCCTCAATCCGCGGCATCCCCATCACCCCCAGCGCCCTCTGCCACACTCTGATGGCCCCGGCGAGGGCAGACAGGGAGGGGCAGAGAGGCCCGCCGAGGCCACACAGCTAGCAAGACAGGCAGCTGGGACCTGACCCCAGGGCTTCCCATCCCATGCCCGGGGCTCGATGGTCTACGCCCTCATGTGCATGACACGTGTGGCCAGATGCCAACCAGTAGTGACGGCTGACTATCAGGGTCCAGGTTTTCTGAGACAAGAGTCAGGCAATCACATCAGAAAGTGAACTGTTGTAAAGGGGGCATGTTTGCTAGTGTTTGATTTTAAGGCTCTTTCCCCACAAAGGAGCCTGAGCCCAGCTCCTTTCTTACCCCGGGCGGCCTCTCTGTAGGCTGTTCCCTCTGCCTGAGTGCCCTGCCCGCACCGGAGGGGACAGTGACTGTTCTCCGTTACCCACAGCTACCCGCCCTTCCTTGGAAGCAGTTCTCTGCTTTCTTCTGGGGAGCCTTCTCTGTCAGTGACACACTTTGGCGGGATGCTGATTTTCACTCGTCCCTGGGATGGCCCTGACTGACCCATGATGAATCAATGAGACTTTTGCTTAAACTGTCAGGGTATTCTCTTTTCCCTGAAGGCGCTGAACGGAACTCACGGGTACAGCTTGGACCGGTGGCCACCACGTGCCTGGACACGAAGAAAGTCAAGTGGAGAACAGCAGGTCCTGATTGACACGGTGGCCCCTAGATCCAGCCAGACCTGACGCCAACTCCCCTTGGTCTCTCAGGTGCGTTTAGCTCATCCATGTTCTTTCTGAATAATCCATCTTAACTGGGTTTCTGTCATCTGCGACTAAAACAGTTCTGACTAAAACAAGATCTCCTGACCAGAAAGTGGCAGCATTTGGACCCACGCCCAGGATCTTACCCACTCTATTAAACTGGCACCATCCCCTGCTCTAAACCCTGCCAATTACCGATAATCCCAACAGCTGACATTTGCTCAGGGCTCCACAGCCCAGAAACTGCTCTCACACACATCATCACTTCAAAAAAAAATTCAGATACCCTTCACATACTAGAAAATTCACCCTTTAAAGCATACAATTCAATGGTTTTTGGTATATTCAGAAGGTTGTGCAACCATCCCCCCATCTAATTCCGGAACGTTTTCATCCACCCGGAGAGAAACCCTGTACCCATCCGTCTCTCCCACTCTCCCCTCCTCCCAGCGCCTGGCAACCACTAATCTGCTCTGGCTCTGTGGCTTTGCCTCTTCCCAACACACATCATCGCTTTTAACTCCATAGGAACCTTGTGAAGGAGCCACTAGGAGCCCAGACAGCAGAGCGGCTGAGCCTGTGGTCTGTGCTGTCGCCTGCCCGGCTTCAAATCCCAGCTCCGACGCCCACTGGCTGTGTGACCTGGGGCAAACCCTGTGGCCTCTCCCAGGCTGGGTTTCTCCATCTGCACGAGGTGCTACGCTTGACACGAGGATTACATGAGTCACGCATCCAGAGGCCGAGCAGGCCGAGCTCTAGAAAGCCGGCTGTTTCTGTGATCATCACCCCAGGCGGCTGATGAGAGCCACCAGGCACAGAGGGGTTAAGGGGCCTGCCTAAGGCCACACAGCACAGGTGGCTGGGCCCCAAGTCTCCTGACTTTTTCCATTGCCCCACACTGGCTTAGCTGTTCCTCCGCGAAAGCTCGGCCCTCCCCATACTTTTTTTTTGAAGTGATGATGTCTGCGAGAGCCAAGTTTCTTTTGAAAAAAAAACACAAAAAACCAAGGCTACTCGCCAGACAGGAGGGAGGGGAAGGGAGGACGGAATCATGAAATCATCGAACTGAGGGTGTTGCAGCCCCACACGGGCTGGCCTCCCCGCCTGGGCCTGGGAACAGCTGACTCCTGCCCTAACTCCTTCCAGCTGCCCCCTCTGCGCTGCGGGGGCCGGAGGCCGGCGGGTCCAGGAGAGGGGACCCTCTGGAATTCCACGCCTTTCCCGTCCAGCTGCCCATCTGGGACTCTTTAAAGGCGGCTGAAGCCGTCTTTCGACGACTTCCTTTCAGGAGGGCAGTCTGAGGCCGTTATACACGCTACAGCAAACCCCCAATTATTACCGGTTATGCTGAGTGGGGCGGAAAAACTTCACTTTGAAGTTCTGGTAGAAATCCGCAAGTTGAGTCACAACAGGAGGGTGCAGGGAGCACAGGCTCTGGGGCAGGGCGCCTGCGGTCCGACCCTGGCCAGCATTCCCAAACGGTCCCCTCGGGCAAGTCCCGTCTGAGCGGAGGGACAGCAGATGACAGCTGACAGGCCAGGCACAACTGGGTCATACCAGGTGCACGCGGAACGGGCTTTCATTCTTAATGTGCAGACGGGGAAACTGAGGCTCAGACACATACAGAGGCGTCACCAGGCTGAAACCTAAAGGGGCAAAAGGCTGAGATCGGAAGCCAGCCTGTCTCACCCTGAAGTCGAGGTCTGAAGCCGGGGCTCTCCTGGAACAGGGAGCTGACGACAGCCAACCTCCTCCGCTCCTGCCTCTTCCCTGGTGCTCCCAGGGCCTCCTCGCGCCTCTGCTCCGCCCTCCTCCTCCAGCTCCTGCTGCACCAGCAACTCCACCTCTCCCGCCGCAGCCGCCAGGTCAGGTGGACGGACCCGGGTCTCTGACAATCGGATTCTCAACCCCGGAGCCCGGAATCGGCACCTAGAAACCCCAGTGCGTTGACAACAGGGGAGGACACTTCCACTCGGGGGCCGAAGGTGCTGTGTGGGGGATGTGGGCCAACAGGCAAGTGGAGGAAGCTGGGCTGGAGAGGTCGTTGGGAAAAGGAAGCAGGCTCGATGGCAGGTCCTGTGGCCACAGTGACACGCGGCCGGGAGCCGCCAGGCCTGCACAGGGTCCCCTGCTGCGGGTCCTGAGCCCCAGCGGGCCGGGCTGCACGTCCTGCTGGTCCATGGGGCTCACCTGCCTCTTGCCATCAATCCGCCCCCTCCTCTCTTCCTGTCTGAGCTGGCTGAGTGGTGTTTGCGCTGTGGGTGTCAGTGACCCCTAAGCGAGCCATCATGCCTGCCCCTGTTCTCTGCCCCCCGCCTCCCGCCCCCCGCCTGTGTCCTCTCTTGGAGGCATCACGCAGGCCAGAGCTCTCCCTATGCAGACCCTCAGGGCGTGAGAAGTCCGTCACTTGCAAAACGTGGACTCGATTCTCACTCTCTGAACCGAAGACCTGCCGCAATGGATCTGCATAAACACCCGCGGTCTGGGTACGAGGGTGCGGCTCTCAGTCATTATCACACAGGACCGTGCCTCCTGCTTCTGGCGCCGGGCATCACCGCCATCGTCTGCCTTCCCCGCCCCACGTCTGCTCCTGCCAAGTCCATGGTGGATGGAATCTGACCCTCTTTTACGCACATGTCTATTTACATTCGGAGCATGCTTGCTGCGGACCAGAAGAAACACATCATCTGTGTATGATCCTGTTTGATTTCGTTACACAGTGAACACAAAACATCACCACATGCATTACATGTCAAACACGGAGGTCACTGGTGTCTCCATTGCTTCTCAGCACATGTGACTCTGGCAGTTACGGAAACAGGCCAGGAGAACTTGGCTATCCCTGCTCCCCCTTGGAAAGAATGAACACAGGCTCCGACTGTTCTGTTTGCCATTTTCAGGGACAGATGAGGTCCGTGCAACCAAGGATGCCTGTGGTTAACATCACCCAACTTCCAGAGAACATGTGAGGCCAGGAGACGGGCTGGTGTGTGGAGGACAAGGGCTCTCTCCTGACGGCCCAACAATGCCTACTTGACACCGGATCACAACTGTTCTCTCCGGCTCCCAGTCCCCACCCCCGACGCCAGGGGTGGTGCAGGCCATCACATTCTTTCACCATCTTGACAGGCTTAGAGATGAGCCTATGAAACACAACCCCGTGTTCGCTGGAACTTCTGGGAAGTGACCTTTCCCTCTTTCCTGCTGACGGTGTGCCCAGAGCATTTTGCAACCACGTGGGATCTGAGGATAAAGCCAACGCGATGGAAGCAGAAATGCAGAACGAGAGGAAAGAGCTGGGTGAAAGGACACAGTGGAAAACCCTGGATCAAGCGGTGCCTGAAGCCCACATGGCTTCTTCTCCTGGGACATGCAGTTACACCAGCCCAGAACTCCCCACTGACTTAAGCCAGTTTGAGTAGGGTTTCCTGCAACTGAAGGACCCTACCAGGCACAGAGGAAAGGGAGACACTCAGCTCAGCAGGGGTCCCTCACTACCCAGCAGGGAGCACTTGCTGGTTCAGGAAGCTGGATAAGTTCTTGGGGCCTGTGTTTTCTGAAGAACTGCATTTTGAGCTGACACCGAGCTGTCCACATTGGCCGGGTGCCCTATGGGACTTGCGGCACTCGCGGTTGTGGGTTCATTTATTCATTCATTCATTCATTCATTCACCAAATGTGACTGGACACATCCGAGTCCTTGAAGAAAACACAAGTTCAAGATCTGCACGCCAAAGCCACACCGACGTCCAGGTCATGCTCTGCTCTGGAGCCATCCGCACGCAGCCCTTCTTTTATGTGGGAAATACTGACGATCAAAGCCTAAAGCAATATGTCCCCAAAGTGATGGACATCTTTTTTCTTTTTTAAGGAGGAATGTCCACACATTTGCATGTCACCCTTGTGCAGGAGCCACGCTGACCTTTTCTATATCGTGCTAATTTTAGTGTATGTGCTGCCGAGGCGGGCGCATGGACGGCATTTTTAATTCTAGGGGGAAAAAAGAGCACTGTACGCCCACTGTGGGTGAGGGGCTGGGCTCTGAAGTCCAAACGGAAAGTAAGTCCAATGACAGTCTTTCCTCCCCGCAGCTCCCTGGACGCCCCGAGTCCGTACCTGGAGGTCAAAGAACTTGCTGTAGCGCCGATAGATGGCTTCGGTGGAGCCGCTGGACCACGTGACCCGGATGATGTAGACCTGCAGAGAGGAGCAGGGGAGACAGGTGTTAACACCAAGGGACTCGGGAGCAAAGCACAAGGTTCAGAGTCAGAAAGACCCGGGCTTGAATCTCAGCTCTGCCACCGACCGGCTGTATGACGTGACACAGGTTACTTGTTCTCTCTGAGCCTCAGCTTCCTCCTCAATAAAATGGGTATAATGACCTCCACCTCTGAGTGCTGTGCAAAGAGTTAAATGACACCAAGCACGGGAAAGCGTTAGCACCCAGCTCAGCGCAGGAGGTGCTGTTAATGTTGGCAGTGCAAGGATTTCCTGCTCCCCGCTCGATTCAGAGAGCCATGGGGCTGGCTCTTTTTGTCAGAGTCATTCTTTTTTATTTTTTTAAATATATGTTTTTATTTATTTTTAGAGAGAGAGGAAGGGAGAGGGTGAGGGAGAGACATAGAAACATCAATGATGAGAGAGAATCATTGATGGGCTGCCTCCTGCACACCCCCTATTGGGGATCGAGCCTGCAACCCAGGCATGTGCCCTGACCGGGAATTGAACCCTTTCCTTCTGGTTCATAAGTCGACGCTCGACCACTGAGCCACGCCAGCCGGGCTATGAGAGTCATTCTTAAAACTTTGGTTTTGATTGAAGGCACAGGAGCCTTAGCCTCCTTATATTTCTCATAAGCTAAGCCATGACACCATGTCCTCCAGTTAGGGTTCGATCATTTCCTCCCTGCGTGTCAGTTTCTCCATCTGTGAAGTGGGCCACCAGCGTCTGCTCGGTGTGACAGTGTGAGGGCTGAGGAGGGGAGCCACTGTGTAAACCGCAGGGCCACGTTCCAACCTTGGTCACAAGTCACGGCACTCACGGAAAAAATGCACTGACGACGCACCCGGGCAAACTGAGGTGGCAGCAGGAGGCCAAGGGCGCCTGGCTGGGGACTCTGGTGGCCCTGGACACGCGTGGGCTAAGGGATCAGCACCCATAACCCAGTCCCAGCTCACACAAATTATCTGTGGTTATAGGGTAGTTCTGACAACGACAAAACATGTATATATGTGAACGTTCTTTGGAAACAGAGAAGTGCTGATTAAAAAGGAGGGGTTCAGTGTTGTTAGAGGCCACGGGGGGCCCTGGCCCTCCACGAGCTGAGGGTCAGCTGGAAAGACAACACATACATGAACGAAGATAAATAACACGTGTGCAGTGGATATGTTATTTTTTGCCGGTATGGATTAATTTTTCTTCCACTCGGAGCACCGTTTCTTTCTCCCCGGAACCTCCTCGCCCATCTCGGCGACAGTTTCTTAGATGGGGAGGTGGGCACTATTCCTCATCCACGGGAAGTGGCTGAAGAGTGAGCACATGACCTGAGCTAGGCCAGTCAGAGCCAGTCAGAGTCAGCCCTGGACTTCAGTTCCAGCTCTCAGGAGAGCAGCCAGAAACCAGCCTATCAGAGGTTGCCATCCCCGGGGGGTGTTTAAGCAAAGCTTGGGTGACCCTCTGTCAAGAACAAAGCCAATGTGGATTCGTCCTGTACAGTGAAAAGGTTGTGGGTTCAATCCTAGGTCGGGGCATGTATGGGAGGCAACCCATGGGAGCCGTGCACTCTCTCTCCCCCTGCCCCTCCCCGCCCCCTTCCTCTTTCCTTTAAATCAATGAAAACATATCCTCGGGTAAGGATTTAAAAAAATATATTAAAAAAAGTGAAAAAAAAGAGAAGACATCATCAAAGATTTTTATTTTTTTCTTAAAACCAATAAAAAGCACACACCCATAAACGGGGAAATTCTGCTCACACAGCTCATTCCTGATCCCTGTTTACAAAATTAAAGTCCTGCACGTACAGCACAGGTCTAATTGGTTTACTGGAACCCGCCTCTGAGCACAAGTCGATGGTCTGCATTTTGAAGCCCAGACCTAATTTTTTAAATGAGAATTGTCCCGACCAGGGCTTTGGCTCTGCCCGGGGTGTGGGGGCTGGTGACGGAGCACACTCACCGGGTTCCAACGCCAGTTCTGCTGCTGGGCGAGACTCACAGGGCACCGACCGCTCTGGACACAGTGTCCCTTTCTCTAAAACGGGGACAATGACCTCCCCTAATTCAGCGCCACGACTAACGTCCATGGGGCCTTGCCCAGGGCCCGCCACACTCGCCCTGATAGCAGTTGCTCCTGCTCATCTGGTCCCCCGTCCCCTTCTGTTGGTAAGAGCGCCTGATTTCCTTGGAGGCCACCCCTCGCCCTCTTCCCATCTTCGCAGGAGGGGGTAGGAACGTGACCCAGGGCTGGCCAACCAGAGCACTGCCTGTCGCTGGCACGCGATGGTTCAGGGATGGGCCGAGGAGACTGCATTCTGGGACTCCAGATGGCGTGATCAGGGCAGAGACCCCTTTCCCATCGCAATGGCTGCTGGGAGGAGAAGGCCCCCCGCCCAGGAGTTACTGTGTGGGAAGCACCTGCACCCAGAAGCAAGCAGGGTGAGAGGGACAGAGGGGCCGAGTCCTGGGACATCATCTGAGCCCCGATCCAGCATCCTGGACGTGTCACCACACAAGCCAGAACCTTCGCTTTCCTGTTTAAGCCGATCAGAGTTGGCGTCTGTTATTTGTCACCAAAGCCATCGTTAACACAGCAACCCTGGCTTTCAGATAACAGCTCAACCCAAGCTGATGCTCAGCGGCCTGGTGTTAAGAAATGTAACGCAGGCTTCTTCATGGCAGCCTCATGCACAATAGCCAAAAGGTGGGACTAACGGGTGTCCACTGATGGATGGATGAGTAAGCACAATGTGGTACATCCATACAAGGGAATATGATTCAGTCTCAAAAAGGAAGGAGATGCTGACACATGCTACGCCACGAATGAAGCCGGAGGGCATTGCGCTAAGGGAAACAGGCCCATCTCAAAGAGACAAATACTGTGTGATCCCACTTACATGAGATACCCAGACTAGTCAGATTCATAGAGACAGAAATATACATCATCTTCTGACAAATATTGTCAACAAAATGTTTACCCTGAATCTCAAGCCTCTTTACTAAAAAAAATATATTTTTTTGATTTTTTACAGAGAGGAAGGGAGAGAGAGAGAGAGTTAGAAACATCGATGAGAGAGAAACATCGATCAGCTGCCTTCTGCACATCTGCCACTGGGGATGTGCCCGCAACCCAGATACATGCCCTTGACCGGAATCGAACCTGGGACCTCTCAGTCCACAAGCCGACGCTCTATCCACTGAGCCAAACCAGTTTCGGCGAGCCTCTTGACCTAAGTTCCAATTTACTGGAAGTAAAGGAGGTAGAGGAATGGGCTAAATGGCACCAGAAAGAAACAATCAGACAAATCCAGAATGTGGGACGTTCCACAAGTCCACTAACAGGGCATAGCTCAGATGCTACTTCCTCCAGAAAGCCCTCCAGGACTGCTCCCTCCCCACCAACATTGCTGCATGTCTCCTTGGCACCCACTTCCCCATCACAAGGTCAAGTACACTTTACTGCAACTGCCTGAGAGTCTGCTTTCCACGAGGCTCTATGTTTCGTGAGAGCAGAACCCACGCCTGTCTTATTCACCGAGTGCTGTACGCCCAGCGCTGAGCGTGGCGGAAAAATCTATGCTTTGTGAATGAATTCATGAGGAAGAAACCCAGACGCCACGTCAAGCCCTTGCAGATAGGAGGCAGGCCTGAGGTCTGTGGGAAGGGAGCCGGACAGTATCTCTCAGGTCGTCCCACCCCGTGGCCTGTCCTCTCTGCCCACTGTCCTGCTTCCCCACCACCCCCACCTCCGCCCAGAGCAGCGAGTCCCAGGGAGCAGCTGGGACTGCCTCTGGGAAAGAGGAAGCACCCAGACCACAGGGTGTCTGCAGGCCTCGGAGGTTTTCCTCCTGTTCCCCGCTTCACACCCTCCCCGGCCCCCCGCAAGGAGGCTTTGACAGGAATTAGCCACCACTGAAACCCCTTCCTACACCTCGGCCGTGAGGCCTGTGTGATTTTCAAAGCTCAGACTCCAGCCCGTGTTTCCTTCTCAGGCTCGGTGCCTCCAGGGCCAGAAGTCTGGGTTTCTTTCTCCTCTGAGTCCTGGAGATGGACTGGTGGCGAGGGGTGGGCTGTGGGGTGGGGCTGAGCCCAAACCCCCAGGCCAGCCGAACACTCCCCACATTTTCCTGGGGACAGATGGAGGCCCAGGAGTGCAGGCACCTGACCGAGGTTCCCTCGAACCTTGCCAGCCTTGCTGCACCAGGCATCGTACCCCTGCCCCAGCAGCTGGGCACAGCTGGACTGGGGCCAGCAGGAGATGCCTGCTCATTCTCCTATAGTTCAGGCACTGTAGCAGGTAAAAGGGACAGGCTAATACAGTGTAACCTCAATCTCAAGCAAATTATACACATTGTATGTAAATGTAAGTGCGTGTGCGGCTATGTTCTATAGAGTCTGACAAACACTGACTTAGTGAACACTGGACCACGCTTCTAGGGGAAAGAGGGTGTCAGGCGCCTGTCTGAAGACACCTCATTTAATGTATGTTAATCCAGTAACACTGACCTCACGGCCAGCGGTACTACAACTCACGCCTGAACGAAGCTCATCTAACACACGTATTTCTCTGTGAGGCCCAGCCCAGCCCCTCTGAGCTTGGGAATAGACAGCACTCAGGGCTACATCTGGGGGCCGTTTAAAACAGTGCAACGACCGACAAAAAGCACAACCATGTAAAGATAAAGGTGGCAGAACAGAGAGCACGGAAAAGACACTTGTTCAGAGCATAAGCGCTGAAACAGGAGGGCAGAGCGTCGCCTGCTCGGCCTCAGCGGGGAACACGCACAGTGGGCCATACCAGTGTTTCGCTGCTTTGCACATGCCGTGTCCACAAGTGACAGGATTGATGCTGGATTACAAATGGATTTTAGCAAGCAGGCAAGTTCCCAAACACGGAATCGGCGAACAACGCAGACTGACTGTACTGTATATATGTGCGTATGTATATAAATCACCGGGATCTATATATATATGGTTTGCTCT